TGAGAATGAAAGGCCTGGACAAGGCAAGTCACCAGAAAGCCCTCCTCAGGGGGGACAGACGGTGGCAATGGGACTCTCCATCAGCCTTCTGTGTGCTCAGTAAACACTTCCTGAGCACCTTCTGTGTGCGGGTGAGACACTGGAACTGGAAGAAAAATAGCATTTAGTCCTGACTTTCTTGATATTCCCTGCTGAGAAAGACCAATGTGTAGACAAATACATAAAATATAATAAAGTGGTTAAGGGATATTTAACTGACCACACAGAAAACTTTTGGGAAGAGTCTAGATTCAAATATCCTATCCCATTTTCTAATCTGTGGCTCAATAGAAACAGTCGCCTTATGGAATAGTATAAACAGATGCTATAGAACCATTTAACTTGCTAAATGTTTTGGAAGTCTGTTGACAATGTGTCTACCATAGCATCCTGATATGCTAGGGACTTGTAAATGCATGGCTACTGTCCACACGCCCCAAGGCAAGGTTGGAGAATCAGAGTCTATGCATCATCTCTGACCAATAAACTATGCAACGATCCTCTGTATTTTGGGATTCATGTTTAAATGATTAAACTATTTCTTCCATAGCTCTCTGAGCAATTTATTACTTTACTCACAAAAGCAGATAAGAGTTTTAGTAAAGCAGAACAGTTACAAGCCTTGCTTCTGGGTCATACAGTCCAGAGTTTGAATCCTGAATCTGTCCCTTACCTCTGATTAGCCTCACTAAAGTTCACTAACTTTCCGTCTCCTTATCCATCAACTGGGGATAACAACGACAGTCAATCCTAGGAAGTGTGGTGAGGACTAGGTTAAACAGTGCAGGTGAAGTTCTCAGCACCACGTCTGAATGGAGGGAGAGCTGAAAAAGTGCTTTTGCTGTTTGAAAGAATGTCAATTTGTAAATTGCAATGCTCCTGAGCTGGCAGTAGAGGGAGCACAGTCATTGGGAACAGGACTTGAGCAAATGGACAAGATAGATACTAAGCCCTTTCACAAGGCAATGCCCCTGTTCTAATAGAGATTGAGCAACCTGCACACAGATGAGCTGGTGAGACCCACCCAAGCCAGGAAGTCTTGTCCCAATAATCTTCACTGCCCCACTCCTTTGGTACTACCATAAGCTACCGCAGAGTTTAATGCTCCTTTCTATGCATATATGTTGTCTGTCTAGCGTCCGAGTCCAGCTCACCCCGATTTCCTTGGGACACACACGAGACGAACTGGGAAGAGAGAAGAGGTAAGGTGCTACCACAAAAATGAAAACCTGCAAATGTTTATATTCTCTATACACGAATTGGGAGAAGATGGAGCTGGCTTACTTCTGTTATAGCAGCAAAAGTGAAATCTCCTCTTTTCCTCTGTCTCCAACATAAGCAGCTCCACTTGGCAAAAGCGCCATCAGAAGAGCTGACTTTGAATTTGCTCTGCCTCGTATTTACAGGTGTGAACCTGCTGCCTCACCTGATTCTCTTCTTCTCTTCATGTGTACAGTGAGCAGGGACGGGAGGGCGGAGGCTTAAGTCAGTGACCTCCAACGGTCCTCACAGCTCGATTATTATTCTAATGCTGGCAGACATCGAGCACTTTCCCTTATCCCATTTCTTACATTAAATCCTCGAATCTTCCCAGCAATTTCCCGTGGGATATAATACCCCCACTTTTATAGACAGAGACTTTGGGGCTCGAAGAAGCTAGATAACTTATCCAACTTTGTACCACTGGAAACTGGCACACCAGAGCTAGAATCTACTTTTCTGAAAGTCTTTATTCTGAAATTTCTCTCTTGGGGTGATGCAACAAGAAATTAAGTATAAGGTTTGTGGGCTTGTCACCAAGGTAAATGGGGGGCCCTTTTAGAGGGGAGACAGGAATCTAGGAGGGCCTTTAACTTTGAAAAAATTTTCATGGATTTTATGTTAGCATTTGGTTTGTTTGTTTCTTTGTTTTACTTTGGATTTTCTTTTCTTTTTTTTTAATCCTTGTTAGTCTCTGAGGGACTGGTGAGACCAGGGCTAGTGTAGAGCCAAGAAATTGAGGACTTGCTTGTTTAGACTTGACTCTAGGAAAGGGAAACAAAGTGGACCTAGAGATGTCTTTTCTTAGATGTCTGGCTCAGTTCAAGAATTAGAAAGGGAGAGAGAGAGGTTCAAGGCTTGTCCTTTAACCAAGAGAAAAATGTTTTTTGAGCAAGATAGGCGCCTTGTGATAGGCACCTCTGGGTAAACTGATCACAGTGGCCATGATATGGCAAACAGAGCAGAGCTTCTCTAAGTGGTATCTGCAGATCCCTCAGGGTGGTCCCCAAGATCTTTTCAGGGGGTCTGCAAGGTTATACTATTTTTATAATACTACTGATACACTTCTGCCTTTTCACTCTGTTGACATTTGCTCCAGTGGTAACAAAGCAATGGTGGGTAAAACTGTTGGTGCCTTAGCAAAGAGCTTAATGGTGCCAAATTATACAGCAGTTATTATAAAACAAAATTTTAAAATTTTAAAAATGCCTGTTTGATTTAAGAACGTTTTTGATGAAGCAGTAAAAATTATTAATTCGATTATATCTCAGACCTTGAGTATATGTATTTTAATATACTCTGTGTGATGAGATGGGAAGTACATGTATACTAAAGTATGATGATCATCTCAAGGAAAAGCACTTGTGTGACTGAGTTGCCAAAATAAGCCCGTCACTTCAAGGAAAACAACGGTAATATCTGTTGCCAGTAAGAAGCTTGGAGCTTCCAAGCAAAAATTAGAATTTGGAGAACTTTGTATACATCACCATGAGTGTGACAGCTTCCTAATACTTAAAGTGCTTTTCTGATGAGAGCAGTGGTGATATTACCCAATGTGAATTTCTGATACTGCGTGATGAAATATGTCAGCATTTAGAAAATCTGTATAATACAGTAGATAAATATTTTTCAAATGGCCAATGTCTGACCCTTCAAAATTGTGTGTGGGTAAAAATTCTATTCAAAACATGATATAACAAAAAGGATTTTAAGGTAGCAGTATATAGAAAGTTTATTTATAAAGTTTCAGATTTCACAAAGCAATTAACCCTTAAGAAATTACCCTTGTTAAATTTTGGGATTTAAATTTAAATTTTGGGATGGGACCAAGGTATCAAAGAAGAATAACTACATTATCTGAAAAGGCCATTATAATACTTTTCCCTTGTCCAACTACATAACGGTATGAGTTCAGGTTTTCTTCAAATATTTCAATCAAAACAACATTCTGCAACAGATTAAATGCAGAACAATATGAGAATCCAGCTGTCTTCTCTCAACCCAAGCATTAAAGAGATTTTTTAAGTATGTAAATCAATGCCGCTCTTCTCACTAACTTTTTGTGTTGGAAGATATACTTGTTTTTCACAAAACATGTTTAATACATAATTGGTTTATTATTGTAATTTTAAATGAAGAAATAGTTTAACTTTTTCTCATATTTAAGTTTTAAGGCAACAAATAATTTCACACAGAACAATAATACACAAACATTTTTAGGGTTGTCAATAATTTATAAAAGAAAAAAGATGTCGAGACCAGTTTGAGAACTGCTGCGGGAGTCCCAGGTGAGGCTCTTAAAAGGAGGAAGACAGCAACAAAACCTCTGCTTTATATAGCAATTGAATACAATGATGACAAGGACACACAAAACCAATATGATTAACACTGTATGGCAGGAAGTGAAAAGTGCTACTAAATGAGTGGTCTAGATCAGCGCTGTCCAATATGGTAGCTACGAGCCACGTGTGGCTATTAAGCACTAGAAATGTGGCTAGTCTGAATTGAGATGTCCAATAAGTGCTAAATATGTACCAGCTTTCAGAGATATAGTATGACATAAGGAATGCAAAGTATCTCATTACTAATTTTTTATGTTGATTATATGCTGATATGTTAATATTCTTGTGTTATTTATAATATTAAAATTAATTTCACCTGTTCCTTTTTATTTCCTTTTTAATGTGACCATTAGAAAATTTAAAATGACGTGTGGCTTGTGTTTGATTTCTCTTGGACAGTGCTGGTTTGGACAGGAAGTGCGATATGAATTCAGAGCAGGGAAATGTTGCTATGGATTCAGGTCATCAGTGAAGTCTTCACAGAGAACCATAGGATGTCAACAAGTAAATAAGTTAGGGGAGGAAATTCCAGGTGAAGAGAGCATCAATAGTGAAGTATGAGAGGTTAATCTGGGCAGCAGGGGACACTGGTTTGGGTTGCATCACAGGCTCCTGTAGGGGAGAAAAGTTTCCCAGATAGATTGGGACCAAATTGTACAGAACTTTGAGTGCTAAGAGTTTGGACTTTTTCCTATAGGCAATGACTGCTTCCCCAGAAGAAAACCAGGCTTCACCCCGTAGCTGGTGGAATAGCCTGAATTCAGCATTTTTTCATGTGGAGACAGAGCAGCATAAGCTGGCGACCAGGAGCAGACCTACCTGACCAGGACATTTAGAGTGATACAGAAAGTGTGACTTTGGCATTCATTGACCTATCTGCGGGGAGGAGTGGTCAATTTAAGCCCATGATAATAATGTCACTGGGAGAGGAGAAGAATCCAGAGGCCACCTGTGGGATGGCTAATCAGGGTGAGGAGGAAACAGGCCTTTGACCTTGGCAGTCTTTTGACCTTGCGGTGTATTGCTCTAGGCATGTGTGTAATCAGAGTGAGTGATGCTTTCTGCCCTTCTTTCAGTCTGCCTGCCTTTATTTTTTGTCTTTATTTTACTGAACATTTATAGGACTCTAACTATGAGTCAAGGGGTTGACATCTGGCTCCAAGGAGATGAGATGAAAAGACCACTGAGGTGGGAGTGTAAACACCTCTTAATGCAGCTCAGTGGCTGACTCATTGAGTAACTTTGGTTACCGTTCTGGGCCTCAGTCTCTACAGATAATAATCAGATGGGACCAAGGATTCCTCCAACTCTGTGATTCTAGAACAGGCCAGTGTCACAAAGGGAGAACATACCATAGCAACCAGGCGCAGGGCTACTCAGGGACAGTAGGAGGAGGCTGGGCCAGTAAGGGCAGGCAGTGGCGGCCTACCTGGGATTGGCCCAAACCGCTGGGTGAAGCTGCCCTCCCGCGTGAGCAGACCCTGCTGGAACTGGAGCACAGTGAGCTCTAGGAGTTTGGCGTTTTGATCCTGGCTACCCGCCCTTCCATGCCAGGGGCTGGCTCACCAGGCTGAGTGGAGTGGGAGAGGGAGATAGGCGGCTGAAGAATTTACCTCCAGGGATCTCAAATTGGGAAAACCGCTGAAGAAAGTGCGTGTGTACCCGCCCCTCCCCTTTCCTCTGGCATCCGGGGGCCACCTGCGGTGGCAGGAGCGGCTGGTAGAGACGAGAGGGAGAGGGAAGGGGGCGCCCTACCTGTTTCTGCGATTTAGCACTTCTGGAATAGAAAGTGGGTGGGAACCGACCCAGGTAAAGTCCCAGAGCCGCCAACACTGACGCACAGGAAAGCCTCAAGTGGGAGGAGAGATGCAAATCCCCTATTGACGATGGCGTCAGCAGCTCCGTCCCGGGGACTGTGAGGGGCGATTCTGGCTTTGGACTGGAGCGCAGCCTGGGACCTGGGCTGAGAGCGAGCCAGGTAAGCAGGGCAGCCCACGCCTTCGTGCCGCCTCTCCGGGGAGGAAATGCCTGTGCAGGACGCCGCTGAAACTTTGCTTTCCCTCGGCGTTTGGGCACTGGCTTCATTTTAGCTTGTCTGAGGAGGGGTGACTGTGAGGAGAAGCGTGCACCCCAGCTCCCCAGGTGCTCTGGCGCGGGTCCCCGCGGAGCCTGCCTGAAGGCCGGCGTCCCGGCGGGGGAGGCGGGGGCGGCCGCGGAGGAGCGTCCCCGCCGCTGCTGCCGGCGAGCGCCTCGCGCTCCCAGCCGGCCTCTCCAGAGCGCGGCTGCCTGACAGGAGTTTGGCATGCCCGGGTTTCAGGAAAAAGCCTGCAGCTACAGCAGCCTGTGATTGTGGCTTTGGCGAGCGCGAGTGACATTTTAGGGCAGGTCATCTGCTTCGCGAGGCGCAGGTCACAGAGCCAGCGCGGCGCCACGGGCTCCCAGACGGTGGGTCCAAGTGCCCGGCGTGTCTAGGGGCTGCAGTGGAGAGGTGTCCTGGGACTGTGGACACCTTATGCTTCCCTTTTAAAGCCTAAGTCAGGGTCTCTGAAAGGAAGACTCAGGTCTTTGTAGTGACCTTTTTTCCCAGTGTTTATTTTTATTATTTAATTTTTTTTCTTTTCATTTTTAGTTGATGCATAATAATTGTACCTATTTATGGGATACAGAGTGGTATTTCGATACAAGTATACAATGTGTAATGATCAAATCAGGGTAATAAGGATATCAATTAACTCGAACATTTATCATTTTTCTGTGTTGTGAATATTCAGAATGCTCTTTTAGCTTTTTGAAAACACACACTAAATTATCGTTTACCGTATTCTCCCTGCAGTGTTCCAGAAGCCCACAAGTTATTCCTCCCATATGGCTGGAAGTTTGTGTCTGTTAACCAACCTCTCCCTACTCCCCTCCCTGCCCTTCCCCGCCTCTAGTAATCACAATTCCACTCTCTACTTTTATGAGCTCATTAATTTTTAGCTTGTATATATGAGTGAAAACACGCAGTATTTATTTTTCTGTGCCTGACTTATTTCACTTAACGTAATGTCAGGAGTGATCTAACATTAAGATAGGTTAGTTCTTAGTTAGATAACAGGTTTTTGTTAAATCATAGCCAGGATTTAACAGCAGTAATGATTAAAATTGTAATGCTATTTTCAGCTTGTGTTGTCTGTTGTCATTAATTAGACTAATTGATAGAGATATAGCAAGACAATGTTGATAGTACTGTGGAAACAAATGTTCCAACAATTTTGTGTGGTCTAGATGTACACCCAGTATATGGAAAGACAAATGGGTCCGGCTCAGGAGACCTCAAGTTGCCCCTTAGAAGCTGCACACCTTGGGCAGAAGAGCACTTTCCTATTTAATCCTCAAGATTTTTTCCTTTTTAAACTTAACACAATACTAACGATCCACCTACCCTAGTCATAGCAATGTCAGAAGTGCTGCTCATCTTCATTTAACAAGCACATATTGAGCACTTACAATATGCTAGAATTGTAAAGTAGAAAGTCTTCATAAAGTGATATGTAAATAGAACATTACTTCTTTTCTCACTTGCTTTCTCTTTAGCAAAACATTGGCAACAACTTTCTTTCTATACATTTTATATCATTTCCTGGGAGCTCAGAGGAAAGGTGTTCAAAATGGTTCTATTTGAAACCTGAAGAATATGTCTATGAAATATATGAAATTTATTACCCTGATGTTTTTTACAGGCAAAAAGAAAGCTTCACCTACCTATAAGATATGTTGAAATGCTATGGTGATTAATCATGTGAAAGAGTTTTTTTCTCTGACCTAGAATTGCTGACAAAACAATAAAAAAAATTGGCTTTGGAAAAAGTAAAATACAGTAATTTCAAGGAGGCAACATCATATTAATTTTCCTGAGTTAGGAAATACATCTACAGCTTCTAAATTGGCCAGAGTGGGGTTACCTGGGGGAAAGCCATACTATTGCTTTATGATAGCCTGCCCCATATGTGTCAAGCGTGGTTTTTTTCCTCCTTGAGTAACTTGAGCTTTTAACCACTGTCAGATGCACACCAGAGACGAATTAAATTTTAAAAGCTTTGTCCACCCCTAGTGGATCATCTAGAGAGAAATAAAAATATTTATTGGTTCAGAAATATTTTTAACTTAAAGAACTAGAGCCCATGGAAAATGCATATATGATATGCTTCGTGAAGCTAAGACAATATTAGACCAGAAGGCAGGAAAATAAAGCTGACTCTAGAAGCCAGACAATTCCGAAATAAAGAAAAAAGGATTTGGCAGTTTTGTATAAAAGAAGCTTTTTGGGGGGTTTTTCTTATATGTAAAACCTAAAGAGGGTCTTAGGAGATATAGTGAATGTTGATTATGTTTGTCTTCAAGTTGCTCCAAGTCTAATAATAAAGAGAGAGCAAGGGATAGGGAAGGAGTTGGTTGAGAATCCAAGGTCATGTAGACAATGAAGAGCAGGGTGCAGGGTGTTTCAGGGAGGAGAAGTGAAAGCTTCCTGGAGAAGGTGGAGTTCATGTTAGAGCAAGGAAAGATGCAGTTTGGGGGCAGAAGAAGACTGCTGTCTTTATTAGTGTTGACTTACAGAAAAACTTAAAGGAATTGCAGCATTTTGGATTGAAAGCATTTTTTTTCCATCTTCTTCAGTTGAGTGACTAGAAAAGAAGAGAAATTTTTCTCCAGTTACTTAACTATTAGATAACATTGGTTAAATTCTAAGGAAAGAAGAAAACAGGTACTATAGCTATCAATGATATTTTAAAACTCTAATTTTACTCCTTTTATAGCATGTCTCAGTGGAATCAAGTCCAACAGTTAGAAATCAAGTTTTTGGAGCAAGTAGATCAATTCTACGATGACAACTTTCCAATGGAAATTCGACATCTGCTGGCCCAGTGGATTGAAAATCAAGACTGGTAGGACCACATGTATTTTCTCTAGAAATTGATGCACAAATGCTTTATGCTGTATACCTGTGGATTTATTTTATGGTCCACTTTTGACTCAGTAGATGCGTTCTTTTCAGGTAAAGAACTTCAAGGATTTGGCAAGCCTTCTCAGAGGAGAGAGGGAATCATTGTTCTTTCTGGTTTCATTCATTGTAGATGAAAACTTAATGGTTCTAGTGCTTTGTTTCTCTGTAAGCCAAAACCCCAACAATTTTTTATGTTTTATGTAATAAAACCAAGAAGCATAGCTATTGATTATATCAGTTTCCTATCACAGACTTTTCTTAATAAGATTCACAAACATTCTTCAAAGCTTTATTCACTTTGTACAATTTTTAATTTTTTTCAAGCATCTTTCTTATTGTGGCAAAATATACATAACATAAAATTTACCATTTTAATCATTTTTTTAGATATGCTGGCATTAAGTATATTCACATTGTTGTACAACCATTAATATCATCCATCTGTAGAACTTTGATCACCTCCCCAGACTGAAACTGTGCTCATTAAATAGTAATACCTCATTCTTTCAACCCCAGCTCCTGCTAACCACCATTCTATTTTCTGTCTCTATGAATTTGCCTTCTCTAGGTGCTTTATAAAAGCGAGATCACACAATAATTGTCCTCTTGTGACCAACTTATTTCACTTAGTGTAATGTTTCCAAGATTATTCATTCATGTTGTAGCATGTATCAGAATTTTCTTCCTTTTTGAAGCTGAATAATATTTTATCCTATATGTATATACCACATTTTATTTTTTCAATTTATCTGTCAATGGACATGTGAGTTGTCTTCACCCTTTGACTATTGCTAATAAAGCTGCTATGAACATTGATATGCAAGTATCTGTTCAAGTTCCTGCTTTTAATTCTTTTGGGTGTATACCCAGATGTAGAATTGCTAGATCATATGCTAATTTTATGTTTAACATTTTGAGTCTCTGCCATACGGTTTTCCATAGTGACTGTTCCATTTTGCATTCCCACCAGCAATACATAAGGGTTCCAATTTCTCTATATCCTTACCAACACTTATTTTCTGTTTTTTTTATAACAGCTATCCTAATGGATATGAAGTACTATCTTAACTGTGATTTTGACTTGCAATTTCCTAATGATTACTGATGTTGAGCATTTTTCTAATATTTATAATTTAATGTTTAAAAACTTTTACATGCTTATCACTGTGGAATAGATTTATCACTTTAAAATTAGTAATGGCAAAAAAAGCAGACATTTTACTAAGTTGTTTCCTGTTATGTAATAACGCTTTTATTTTTTTAGGGAGGCAGCTTCTAACAATGAAACTATGGCAACAATTCTTCTTCAAAACTTGTTAATACAACTGGATGAACATTTGGGTCGTGTTTCCAAAGAGAAAAATCTACTCCTGATACACAATCTAAAAAGAATTAGAAAAGTCCTTCAGGTGAGAATGCATTCTACTTTTCCCAAATATTTGCATATATGAGTCTTAAATTCAGTTTTAAAAAAATCAAATATATACCCTTATGTTATTTTCAAACCAGATTTAAGAGGGTAAATCTGTATTCTCTTATCATTTAAAAATTTTGTGCTTAATTTTATTACCCAATATTTGTTTTTCATGAAATTTTGAATATAAAATACACTATAACTGGGAGGGTGTGTGTATAAGTGGAACTTGCACTTATACACAAGCCACATGTTTACTAGCTATGATCAAGTTCAATAACACTACAACTAAGATTTAAAAGACAATAGCATCATGGCTTTCCCCCCTGCTTTTCCTTGCCTTTGTATCTTATATAACAATGTATTATTCTCATTCATAAATGGAAGCATCTTGGGTGTGTGTATCCTTTTATATTTGGTTCAAATCTTGCTTCTTTTAAAAGTGTTTTTTGCTACTCTCTGCCCCTGTTCCAAAGGTTTACCCAGGTAAAGCCCATCTGTTTGTGTTTCCACAACACCCAGAACATATCTGTACCATGGCATTTAGTATATTCTACATTATTTCTATTTCTGTGTGTTTTGTCTTTTCCCAAACTATGAGCTCCATGAGACACAGACTTGAGTATTCAGCTTTGAATTTCCAGCACCCAACATAAGGCTGGACATAAGGAAGATGTGCAGTGTTTATTGATATTGATTAAGGGGATGTATGAATGGAGTGAGTGAATCAGGGATCTAAAGAATTAAGGGCAGGCTAATGTGGAATTAAACCCAAAAATGCTTAGGTAATAAACTCTGAACATGGACAGCTGTAATATTTACTGAGTGCCTGTACAATATATTAGATAACATGAAAAGTACATTGTGCCATTTCTCAGACATTCTTAGAATCCCAAACTTACAATGAGTACATTTTTAAACAATTTTACCTAGACCATAGTAGAAATGTGTTTGACATTACTACATTTGTGAAAGGGACATGCGTATTGTTTTTCCTGTTGTTTGGATCGTGCTGAGCCATCTTTGCCCTTGTAATTTCCTACAAATCTGCAAGACACTTAACCAAAGTTAGTAAAATAATATGTGCCAACAAGACAGGATCTTTCACAGTGTACAGCAAACTGTCTTTATGGGATAAGACAGTTAATGTTGGCCTCATTAGCTTGCTGCTCTAATCAATAAACCTAAAACAGGGGTTGACATACTATGACCCACAAGTCAAATGGCCACTTCCCATGTTCATGTGGCCCATAACTAAGAATGGTTTTTACATTTTTAAGTGGTTGGAAAAGAATAAAAATACAAGAATCATACAGTGAAATTTAGAATAATATTTCTAATATATAAAATTATAAGAAATTCAAATTTCTGTGTTTTGTTAGAACACAGCCATGCTCATTGGTTTATGCATTGTCTATGGCTGCCTTTGCATTGCAATGGCAGAGTTGTGATAGACCCTAAAATAAAAATGTGTGTATTCACATATGTCATATATATCATATTTATCTGGCCCTTTATAGGGGTTTGCTAACCCCTACCCTGTAAGCAAAGATCCTGTAGTCACTTTACTAGAGAGGCACAGTTGCGTAAATGGGTGATGGTCTTTGGAACCGAGAAGATCTGGATTAAAATCCTGACCCTCAAAATGTAGCTTTGAGTAAATCATTTAATCTTTCTGACCTGTATCTTTTAATGTAAACTATGATGATTATTACTTCCCTTTTGGAATTGTGAGGAAGACTGGACCTTTTACTCTGGCAAAAGTAGGCTTGCAATAAAGGGCTCTTGTTGTGATAGGGAAAATAGCAGGATTGTCTTAGTGGAAATCAAGGGTAAGCATACAGCCCATCTTTTGTTCTGAGTAGGGGATAAGATTGGGAGGGGAGCTCCTCTTCTGGTTGGTTCTATCAGATGAAACCTTGTTAAATAAAACAACACTTCTATCTCACTACCTCACTGCTCAAGAACCTACCGTAGCTCCCAGTCACATTTCAACTCAAGCACAAACTTCTGCTTGTGTCATTGGTCCTCCAGCATCTTTCCTCTTTGGACATTTCCCAACAAACTTTCTCAAGCTCCTCAACATCCCCGCCTCAGTAAAACAGATCTACTACTTGTTCCCAAACACGTGGAGCTCACTCTTGAATGACTCTGAGCCTTGTCCATGACGGTCCAGTGGCCAGGAATGCTCCACCACCCCTTTGCCTCCAATCCAGTGCCTATCCATCCCTAGAGAACTTGGCTAGGTCCCAGTATGACCAGGAAACCTTCATTACATGCTTTAGCCTGTGTTCTCATCCTCCACAGACTATTGGCTGCAAGATAAGTGGCATCACTCTGTGTCCCTTTCATTTATGTTGGCTGTGTCTAACCAGATCACAAGGTCTCTGAGTATACAAGACTGACCTCCTTCCCTCCAGTACCCAACATGGTTCTACTGAAAACTGGAAACTCAAAATACAACTTGGTTAATTGAGATATTTTGAGTTGATAAAAAAAAATTTGCTCTTTCTTGTGCTCCTGGTATATTTTGATTTATAATCTATGCTTATTGGGTAGTTGCATTAATTAAGAACATAGTAGAAAACAGTAATAAAGAACATTGTCAATTATGGTTTTACACCTAAATGAACCTACATTTCATCTTTCTTTTTAACCTGTCATATTCCCAAAGAGTTGTTTTTTTTTGATATGAGAAGTCTTTTTGATAAAACAAGATCCCCCTCGCCCTCAAAAAAAAAAAGAAAGAAAGAAAAATATTCCTATCAAAAGACTATTGAAATTGGGCGTATCTGGTTTAACTATTTTCATCCTCTAGGATTTTAAATACAAACCATCTTAATAATTATACCAAAAGGAACAAACAATATTGTACCTGAGGAACTAAGGATAGGTATAAGGTAGACTTATTCTGGTTCTTTACAGAGCAGCTGAGTTCACTCATTTCAATATTTTAATTTACTATTTATATCACCTACTTCCAATAAGAATTTGGAAGGGCTTGTTGTAAAAGACAAATAAAACAAAGCGACTTACCTGAGGGTAACTATCAGAAGCTCCACGATGTAAAAAGTGATCACCATTACTCAGCTAGCCTTGGCCCCTTTACGGGAGGCAGACTACGGTAAAGCCTGGGAACGAGGATTGCTTGAATCCTGGCTGTACCGTGTACTGGCAGTTTGGCCTGGGGCTAGGTACTGACACGCTCTGGCCTCAGTGTCCTGGGCAGTACAAGAGAAATTACATTGGTGTCTTCCCCACTGAAATGTTAGGAGCATTGAAAGAATTGATTTTAAAGCATGCAGTAAGAACTATGTTAGGGTTTTCTAAAAATAAATATCTGCCCCAAATATTTCAAGAATGCTCTACCCTATCCTTGGACTTTTAAAACATTAATGTTATTCTGTAGAGCAGTTTGGGGTTTACAGAAAAATTGAGCAAAAAGTACAGAAAGTTCCCATATACTTCCTTCCACACCCCCTTCCAGGTTTCTCCCATTATTAACATTTTGCCTTGGCATAGTACCTTTGTTACAATTGTGAACCAATATTGGTACATTACCATTAACTTAAAGTCTAAGACCATATAAGGGCTAGTTCTTTGTGTTGTGCAATTGACAGATACTCGCGTCACACACCCACCATTACAGCATCACACTGAAGAGCTTCACTGCCCTTAAAGTCTCCTGCCCTTCAACTGTTCTTCCCTCCCTCCCTTCCCACTGAACCCCTGGAAATTACTGATCTTTTTGCTTTCTATAGTTTTGCCTTTGTTCATTTAGCTGGAATCCTAGGTGGCCTTTTAGACCTGCTTCTTCTTTCACTTGGCAATATGCATTTAAAGTTCTTCTGTGTCTTCTCTTGGCTTGATAGCTCATTTCCTTTTGCCACTGAATAGTATTCTCTTGTAAGGACATACCACAGTTCGTCTATTAATTTTTGGCAATTATGAAGAAAGCCCCTTTTAACCTTCCTGTGCAGGTTTTTGTGCAGGCTTAAGTTTTCAGCGGATTTAGGTAAATATCTAAGAGTGTGATTTCAGGATCTTTGTTTTTGAACTTTCTGTTATAAACCTTTTTTCCTTATTCTCTTTCCTCCCTCAGATAGAGTGACTTAAAAAAATTAAAATGGTGTGTACTCATAATTTTAAAAAATTAAAGCAATGCAGAAAAATGCAAAGAAGAAAGTATGAAATCATCTAAAATCTACTGGAAATATGCATGTTAATATTTGATGAACATCATTACAGACATCTCTCTCTACATGTGTATATGCAGATGGGAGGCAGGATTGCTAGTCCGTGCTCTTGCACATGCTCTCTCTCTCTCTCTCACCCATATACCAGGTACCCTCTGTATCTCTTACCTTACTTTATTTTTCTCCATACCTTTTATCAACCTCTGACCTCCTGTATGTTTACTTGTCTCCTTGCCATTAGAATGTGATCTCCATGAAGGGAGGAATTTTGTTTTATTTATTGCTTTAAACTCTGATGAGTTTACTCTAGTGAGTATGCCTAGACACATAGTAGGTGCTCAATAAATAGCTTTTGAATAAATGAATAGCTACAGAGGAATACTTGGATCAAAAAAGAATCATGCTATATATGTTTTTAAAATAAAATTTTATCTTTTACTGAATGAAAATTATGCAAAGCATTAAGAGATAGGCTATGTTTAATATTTCTTAAGCTATATATTTTACTTTCAGGCAGTTATCTATTGACTCCATGATATTAAATATGAGGAGAAATTAGCATTTGTAAATTTTCTTCCACTTCTCATGCCCCCACCCCCCTATTTTTGTCAGTTATGTTATATTTTGTTAGTTACATTGTCATTCTGTTGTATAACTGCAATTGCACACATATATTTACTTTTAAGTTTATGTGGATTCAGTACTCATTACTACTACTTTTACCATTGCTTCTCTATTCCTGAGGTTTTAAATTTTGACTCATTCTGAATTGCCTAGATTACATCAAGTAGTTTTTTCA